GATTTGTATCATCCATTTCTCCTTCCAGTGGAAGCAACCCAGCTAAGCCCTGAATACTGACTAATACAAATACAGGCCAAAAAGGCAATGATATTTACTACACGCCAGTATTTGTTGTAATTTGTAGACTTTTAATGGGACATATCACCATAAATTTAATTACTGTAGAGGGTAAATGTCCAGTGTCTAATGGCATTTATTAGATTCTACAATTTATTTTAGTTCTAATTTATTTACTGATGCATAGACTTTTCTGTTACTCTAATTACCATAGAATCTGAGAGCTTCACAAACTGTGAATTTATCCTCTATGAGACAGGGAGGTATTATTATTACCTACAGTTCACAGATGGGGAACTGAAGCACAGCAAGATTAAATGATTTTAGCATCTCAAAAATAACCTGCAAGGCAATTAACAGACAGAAGCCCCAATTCTACAACATTTTACTCATAGCCAGTAGCACCTATTCATGTAAGCTGTCCCATTGGCAACCATGATGTTTAAAATCATGATTTGTTTATAGTCACACTCAGGAGTTCTTCAATTATACAGAAAAAATGTAGATTCTAAATTATATCCATGGCTTAGGTCTAAGAGAATTGTTATGCTGCTATTAATGATATCTGACAGGTGTTATAATATGTTACAAAAGTGGCAGACACCCAGTGTTGTACAGAGGATCCACATAGAAATATTCAGGGCAGCCACTTAGTAGCCAAGTCAAAAAGTTTCAAATGTGTCAATTCAAAATAAAACTATTGATAACACAGCAACATCACTATACAACTTGCTTAAACACAAGAGAAATGGAAGTTACTTTCATATGTTTAAAACTGTATATTTTGTCAATAGACTATGCCTTCTCTTGACATATTAATCACACCTTTACTTTCTTAGGGTGTGTACACCATATGCTCCAGGAGTCAGATTCAGGAAGTTAAACTTGCCTTTAGATGCCAGGTGTCTAACTATAACATAACTTTCTTTCACTGTACAGAAAATAGAGGAAAATCTTTGGATTCAACCTATGAGCATTGCAGTGTGGAGCAGAAAAGATGCAAATCCATCACTGACCTACTTCAGCTTTGCAAATGTTTGTAGAAGTTGATCATAAAATTATAATATTCTGAAAAAAAGCAGTAATAGATGGGAACTCTCTGTATGAGCTATCAAAACCAGGGGCGGCTCTATGTTTTTTGCTGCCCCAAGCACGGCAGTCAGACGGGCTTCGGTGGCATGCCTACGGGCAGTCCACAGGCACACGGATTCGGCGGCGTTTCTGCGGGTCATCTGCCGGTCCCGCCGCCGAATTCGTGGGACCAGCAGCAGACTTCCCGCAGGCTGCGCTGGTGCCTGGAGCCGCCCCTGATCAAAACCTTGTGTAATAGCAGCTATATCCATGTAATCTTTGTTTCCATGAATAGTTATATCTATTTTTGGATACAAAATCACAAATAAAATGTGCAATAAGTTCAGAATATTTTTTGCCATTCACAACTGCAAGCTATGTCATGATCATACTTTATAGTGCCTATATTTGTCTGTTATGCTGATTCTTCAGGATCTAATACACATCTAGAAATAAAGGATTATATTAATCCTTACTTAATCAGATTACACATGCTATTTTTCAGGTTTTTGTATTTATCTACTATACAGAACTTTTCTGTATGTAACTATATATTTACAAAATCATTTGATTTTTTCCCCTCAAGTAGACTTTGCTGTTTGGAAGTCCAGCATGATTAAAATTAATTGTTTATAGAAAAAAAACCCACAATTAGGTAAGATAGAGTGGAAGAAACTACCTCCGCTGTTATAGTAGTTTCCATTTATTTTTATAGGTGTGGAAAATATATTATATATGGTACACAAGCTGGTGAATTTTCATATTAATGACTAAGGATTCCAATTACATTTAGACTTTACTGAAACTCTAGACAAAAAGTGTTTTATCCTGGACAAGCAGATCAGAGGAAATCTGAGTCCACTCCAATATGGCAGATGGGAATTTGCTGAACAGAACCTGAACATGACCGATTCAGATCTGCAGGCTTCCTATTTGTCATGATGTTGAACACTCATCCTGTTAGGGTGCAAATGTCATGTTGTTGAACACTATGTTGTATGAATTGATGCCTAGAATTCATAGATGGTAGCTGCTTCCCTGTGAAACCCCAGAAAGCCGGAAGCCCTACAAAACACCGGTTCATGTGGAATTGTTGAATGGTGTTTAAATCATATGTGTAAACACAATCATGTCAATTTTAGGAATGCTAGTAACCAAACCTCTAGAGGTTTCAATCCCTTTTTCCTCATCACCATTAGTAAAAGAGGTGTGCAGTCTGCACCTGTCAAGGAGGAGCAGTGTATGCTCAGTGCCAGCCCCTACAGAGCAAACAACAAATAAAAGAGTTAAAGCCAATGGCAGTAACCATTCAACTTTTCAAGAGCACATTTTAGGGCCACAGCAGTCTGTTAGCAGGCATTTGAATAGCTCTGAGTTTAATTTAATAGAGTGCCTTCTTTTAGTAATTATTATATTTTAAACCAGTAAGTTTCTGCAGTCCTTATGCCCCATGGGTAAACTTTTGTTTTAAAGATGGAAATAAAGTCTGTATCTCTATACCAGCTGGATACTATTCTGTATTAATTGACTCTGCAAAGTCCAGCTATAGGCACATCATATGTATCATTCTGAAAAATAGCTTTTGAAAACACATCATCTTCCCCCTGCAACTAGGGTGACCAGACAGCAAGTGTAAAAAAATTGGGACAGCGGGTGGGGGGTAATAGGCACCTATAGAAGACAAAGACCCAAATATCAGGACTGCCCCTATAAAATCGGGACATCTGGTCACCCTACCTGCAACTATTAGATCCTGTGGGTCTCCAGAATTTTGCTGTATCTGTGTGTTTAAATGGGTGATTGCAGTCAGAACTCTATTTGAGTATCTTCTGCTGCACTTCCATTCTCCACTAAGCTCTCCAGATCCAAATTTCATATTCCTTTTTGCTGAGAGGCCTGTCAAAGTGGATAGAATTAGCCACAAACATTCATTCTACAGCTGATTAGAGGAAGCAGTGTTTGCAGCCTACATGAGTTATGTTTAGGCTATGGTTCAGATTTGATGGAGTCAAAATTTCACAATTTGTTCTTAAGAGATTTTAGCTCCGAATAGTGAAATATCATTAGTGCATCTGTTTTTTATAGGTTTTATAAGGTTGGTTGAAATTTCCCCAATGGTTTAACAAGCTCTTAATCAGAATTGGAAAATATTCCTTTCACTCCCTTTCTATGTTTGGGCCTGACCTGTAACTTCAGAAATAGGATTACAAATACTAGAAATACATACATGAAATCTGGAGTAAAATTTCTTAGCATTTCTTTGCATTATCTAAAGTAGCCTGTTGTACTTATTTTGATGGAGTAAATGGGCCCAGGGAGTCAAACGTGTTAACATAATCCTAAAATTGTCCAATATTAAATAGTTTTAAGCAAGGTTCAGAATACAGAGACCCCATCCTGCTTAATACCATGGCAAACACACTATTAAAAATCCTTTAAAACATTTTATCATTATCATCATCTTGTTACCATTACGGCTCTGGTGTTTAGGACAGTTACAAAGCTCAACCACTCCTGTCTGTTTCTGGCATTTTATTATAGTTACAGAAAAAGGAAAAAAGCTAAAACATTTTAAATGTAAAGTATTAAATAAGGCTTTAATTATAACAATATGTCTTGCTCCCTTCAACTGGAGAGAGTTTTAAGAAAGAGCCCCCTCATCTGACAGTCTCTTGGATTAGAATATCTGTCCTTTTGGAAAAAAAGAGAAGTTAGTTGAGATGTGCAGGAGACGCTGCTGCTGTTAAAGTCTGATCCTGTTTCCTAGAAGACAAAACAAGACACACACAAAAGAAAGGGGAAAGAAAAAGAACAGCAAAAATAGAAAATGCCTTTTCTGTCACTGGTGTTGATGTTCACTTGTAACCCCACTGCTTTAGAAACACAGGCATGGTACATGGTCTTGTGAGCCATTCCAACACCTGGAAAACTTGTACCACCAGCAGGCTATATAGAGAATTGTTTTTACTTGCGTCTTTCTGGTCATAAACTTTCTGGATAATTTTGTAAAATACAGTCTTGACCATTTAAGCCAGACTCTTATTAGACAGAAGGCAAAAGGAGAGAGAAAAAGTAACTTGGGGAAGGAAAAGGACACAGTAGATGTGTGGGTAGGGGAGGTAAATGACAAAGTTTCACATCCCAGATGATGGTTGGGATTTAGCAAAGCCACTGGACTTGGCGATATCATCTAGGTCCTACCCTCTGGCCCTGTCTGGTCTGGACATCTCTTAGGATCAAAACAAAGAAGGCCCAATAGCGTCACGGTAGATTCCAAGAGACGGGGGGAGGGGTTGCAGTCATGATTGTAAAGCTTGCTGCTTCCCTCTCTTAAACTGTTGCAATTGCTTCTTTTTGGTTTTGAAAACCCAAAATGGGAGTGATGGGTGGAATAGCCCATCCCTCTTTATTTTGTTCACTACCTAATTTCCAACATTCCGATTTTGGTTCATTGATTTCTGGTCCCACACTTTTCTTGTTTACCAAGCGTGATCTTAACACGGTCCTTGAATTATATCAGTAGGCCTTTTTGTTTGTACTAATTCAGTCTGTCTCCCTTTTCCATATCCCCCGCACCCATCAAAATTTATCATTATATGTCATTGTGACATTTAATGAACTTTCACTTCTCACAGCTAAACTCACAGTTAGGGTAAAATTGTAGACCCAAATTATTACAACATGCTCTTAGTCAGAATAGCATGTTCTTTTGGTTCCTCTTTCACATGTAGTTAGCCAAGAACCTTCTGGCTACATGTGACTTTTAAATAAATATATATAGAGAGAGACCAATTAAACATAAGATCCAAATATAGTACATCAACTTCCCTACTGATATAATAAAAGAGAAGCCAGTAGCCTTTACTCACCTTCGATTCTTGCCATGTTCAACCCTGTTCAGGCCTACTGCTGCCTTCATACACCCGGAACACCCTGATTGCATTGGAGGAGTCATAAAAGGTCATCTCTCTGAAGAGTGTTCTGGGTAGAGGTGGACTGTAAACCAACAGGCCAACATAGAGCATTAAAAATAGTTCAACAGCTTACAGGATTTCAATCTTTTTCTTCAAGGATGGGTTTATTTCTCGAAACTAAAACAGTCCAACATAAATCAAACACATAAACCAGCTCTTGCTGCTTGGACAATTTCAAGGTCCTTTTCCCCTGAGCCAGGACCTCCTTAGAGGTGTCACTCCTCCAATTGGGCTGTTTATTGGCCTCTTATCTAAGGACTAAATGACCAGCAGGCTATCACCTACTAGACAGAATATTAGTCACAAGTGGGGGATTAGTCCATCTCTACCTTAAAGGCTATTCCCGCTGTGACAATCACTATGGAAATGGTGGGCAACCTGCAGCCCTTCAGGGTAATCTGCTGGCAGGCCATGAGACACTGTTTACATTGACTGTCCACAGGTATTGTTATGCTCATACAAATTACACGGGATCTTAATAGAGGAAGGTTGAAGTATACACAGCATTTATTGAGAATACCACAGTTAGCATATACTTTTTAGATACACACACACACACACACACACACACACACACACATATATATATATATACACAGTCCTGCCAGTGATGTTAATAGTTACCAGTCTGTTGTAGCTCGAGTCAATCTAATGGCCAGTTAGATTGAGCATGAGTGTGGAGCTGGGTTCTGTCGGTCGCGATCCGATGCTCTGAGGCTTTGCAGGACTGAACCCAGAGTTCCATGGCAAAACACCCCAGCTTTATAGTTGTAAATTCCCATTTGAGTCCATGCATTTTGCAATGTCATCCTGTAATCATTAGTCCTTAAGTGGTGTTATCATTTGATGGTTATTGTTGGGCTTCCCATCGTTATCTCTTATTTGTTGTCTCACCTTCAGGGGTGCCTGCCTCACCTCTGAGGTCGTCAATGCTGCTAACATGTTTAACATGTTAACATGTTTAACATTGGATACAATGGATGTTTTCGGATTGTCTCCTGGTCTTTCCAAGTCTCTCACTTCTTCTTGACCATCTGGACATTTGTGATGGCATTCATACCTTATCTTTTCCTGATGCATGCATTCCTCATTCACACAAACAATCTCTTACAGAAACCTTCAAAGGTATACAGACAGCAGTATTGTATATTCAGCAGAATGCATTGTAAATCAAGCCTTGCTAAATCTTATAACTAAAACAATTCACATTGGGACTTCAGGCCCCCAACATTCCTCTAATCTTCTTAACATAGATACAATAGAGAATCCTGTCTCTTACTTCCTAATTTGTAATACATATAGGAAACCATAGTAGCTTTATAACTTATTCTAAAACAAAAGGGTGACCATAATCACTCATAAGGATTGTTCTGGTCTGTCATTCCTTTCTGCTTTTCAAAAGGGGTGGCTGACAGGATGAAATCAAATCATACATTAATTCTCATAGTACATTATAAAATCCAGCTCCTACAGCATGGCCACCTGCAGCTCCCAGTGACCGTGGTTCACCGTTCCCGGTCACTGGGAGCTGCGGGCAGCTGTGCCTGTGGACGGTCAATGTAAGCACTGTCTTGTGGCCCGCCAGTGGATTACCCTGATGGGCCGCAGGTTGCCCACCACTTCACTATGGCCATGCCTCACATATGTGGAGGAGAAGGAGGTGAAGAATTCCACCTACATCCTGAAAAACCCATCAGAATGCATCAGTGCATGATGAAGGATATCAGCGTATAAATTTTAAAAAATAGACGTTATTCATATGGACTTCTTTTCAGCTAAAAAATTTAAGCAGGTCTATCATTTCCACATCTATCATTTAAAGTTAGAGTTAGTCCCATTTGATTCGATGCTATATAAATCAATGTCTCTAGTATGAAAGAAAGGAGCAGTTTAAGTTCATTTGTTATGATTTTAATATAAATATGTACTCAATGTTGCCAAAAAAGTGTTTCCAATGGACTTAGAAATATGCTAAATTGCAGCCATAAAAAACAGGATATTAAGACAGTTGCTGATAATTTTGTTTCCTCTGAAACAAATAAAAATGGAAATTTATCTTGGCCTCTCATATGGTACTGACCATATGTTTCAAATCACAGTTTGTTATCACTACTAGAAGCACATATGAAATCACTAATATGTACAACAGATTTTTGTCAGCTATGTTCCAGAACTAAAGGTTATACTGCTTGAGCCAATAGCTTCCTTTCCAACATCTTTTATTTAATGTAAACTGTTTGTTTTCTGAGCTAATCATTGTTAGAAAGCCATTACAGTAAACAAATATCTTTATATTAATAGGATCCTTAAAAATATATATGATTTCTGGGTGAAGATAAACTCATTTTCAGTTCGGCTCGTGTGGAAAGCAAAGCAAGGACAGATGTGAAATGAACATGTGCAATCTTAATATTATGATGTATACATATTATAGAGGCATCTTGAAGTCCCTATCAGGATTAGGAGCCATTATGCTGGGCACTCTTTATTTTACAATCCCAGCAACACTCCCAGTTGAAGTATACAATCACAATAATGTCTACTTCCAAAATACTGATATTTATCAGTTTGTTTATATACACATGCACATCATACACATTACAAAACAAAAACATACACATTAATTAGAAATGTGTATATAAGGCCCTGAGAGAGGGCTATGTTTTGCCTTGTTGGCAGTCAGCACTAAGAAGTCCATTTTGATTGCACAAGATGTGTGTATCTTCCATCCACTCACAGGGCCTAGACCAAACTTACAGTGTAACTCCAAAGTCAAGAAAGTTACAAGGGGATTGTTTGGTATAAATGATCATATAAGCTATACATCGTTCAGATGCTGAAGTGGAGCATTAAAGTAGTGTATCATGAATGCACCATTTTGGTATTTAGTGGATATGCAAAATGAATGTAACTTTTCCATGTCCTGTGCTCCATCTCATACCTTTCTGTTTGTTGGTTTTTCCCATCCAACCTTCCACTGTGTAAGTAACTCACTCTGAATACCTGTTCAATGCCATTTCACTCAAGCTTCACTCCTTTCAAAGTAGCTGCTGTCCCAATTTTGGAAAAAAATTCTCAAGTTGCATTTTAAGCATTATTAATACAGTTTACAACTACTATGATGCTTCTAACAATTTCATCTCTACCTGAGGAGTTGTCCATTTTACATAAATGGAGTGGGTTCCCTTTTCTTGTAAAATTGTATCATTTTATAAAGTAGGGCCCAATTCTCCAACTTGCTCTGAGCAGTTGGACCTCTGCACCTGGGTCAAGTCCTATTGACATGAACACATATAAAACAAGTCATGAGATCAGGGTGTAAAGCAGCATGATATTTTTCCATTCAGTGTGTCAGCAAAACTTACTGAATAGAATTAAAAGTTGGGATAGGGAGGCTAATTAATAGAGCAGTACTGGATCTACGATTTTAGAAAGGCTGGGAAGGATGATTCAGGGATTGTGACTATATATATGGCATGGGATGTCTCAGACAAGAAATTACTCCATGTTATTTGTTTGCTTTCACATTTGCAGAGTAATTAAACAAATAAAACTAAAAACTATATCCTGCAAAAACACCTGGGAGTAGTTCTGGTGTGTTCTGATATGCAACATTTAATTTGGTTTCTCTGTACTGCATCTTTACATTTCTAAAAACTCTGACTGCCAGGGCAGTTGCCATTTGGGGGGCAGAGATGACACAGAATGGTGTAGGGGAAAACACTTTTCTCATTGACATTTTATTCTTTCTTATTGTGTTGTTTCTCTTAATCCAAAATGCGTCTCTCAGGAAAGTCATATGGTTGTTCTCTGTATATTGAGAAACATGACAGGTGTAGTGAGGCAGCAACCAATGAAATTATGTCTTTTCACCAGGATACTTGGTCACCTTCATCTGAACTTTACAAAGCATATGCCAAATTCCGATTTAAGTGTATGTATGTAGTCCAAAATATGTGTAACTTCATCTCTGGGCTTGATTCAGTAAATATTATCTGTATCATACAAAGATGTAAAAGCCAAGTAAGGTCACAGATACTGGCTTTGCAGCGTAACAGAATATGCTAGCATCACATGCATTTGGATTTGGGGATTTTTTTTGTTTTGTTTTGTTTTTCATTTATATAATTATCAACCATCCAAAAGGGTCTCATGAATCCTTTCTTCAATTCTAAAGATATCATTACGGGGAGGAATTTTCTCAAAGTCTTTTATTAAAAACAAATTGAAGCAAATGCAAGCTGTCCAATGACCAAGCAAACCCACAGAGCCACAAGTGTCTGAAACCTCATACTAATCCTCAGTGTCTCAAGAGTGCTAGGCAGAGCGCCAGCACAAGGATTCACTGTGTTGGAACTTTACCCAACTCTTTTTATATTTGGTTCCATCTCTTTCCAGTGATCCTATGGGCATTGATTTTAATGATAACACTTAGCCAACACACAAACTAAACAAAATTCCTTGTTTTAGGAAATCATTAAATTCTAAGAACTTTGAGTTTTAATCCTGGCTCTGTCACTGATTTGACGTGTGACCTTGAGCAAGCCACGTAGTCTCTATTTTTCAACCATGGGTGACTAAAGAAAGCTAAACATAATCATCTACACAAAAGTGGCTTCAGGCAGAGATGTTGGGAGTTGTGAGTGCTCAGCACTTCTCAGGATCAGGCCTTTAATAAAATTTTAGAAAAAATCTTAGAAAAACTCATACTATTTCATCTTTGCTCTAAAGACTATTTATATGCATACTTTATGTAGGGAATTTGAGCATGGATCAGAATAAAATTATTTTAAACCTTTGTTTTGTATACATAACCCCCCAAATAAAAGTGAATGCTGGCATCTTTGCTTTGTGAAAGACTGATCTATACTTTTTAGGTATTATAATATCAGAGGGTTTAAACTGAAATTAGAATTAAGTATTTCCAGCATTAAATGGAAGAAGATGCACAGTCTGAAACTGTCATCTCCTTCATGCTTTTAGCTCTGCTTAGCTTTTTCTGCATAATTTCTTTTGGGTACA